TTGCCATATGACTCGTTTCCCTATTGGATCATTAGCTAAGTAGCTATACTTTTAATCCTATACCGTAGCATGATTATAGTTTGGCCCACATTGTATCTCCATTAAAAATCTGCTGTATAAACTGCCTGACAAAGGGTCTTGGTGGCCAGCTCATTCTAGATCCCTCCTGAATATCCAGGAGCTATTCTTTCTTCCTTTATTTTCAATAAAACTCCCTTAATTTCTTCTTTGGTTCACAACTTCATTCCTCAATGTTGGAGAACCACAAACTCAGCATATTTGACATCTAACAGATCAGGAATCATATTTCTCCTATATCAGTATGATCCACCTATTCTGCACCTGGGTGGTAGCCAAAGAAAATGAAATTTGCATACAAAAGAGAAACGTGCATACTTTTGTTTATTGCAGCACTACTTACAACAGCTAAGAAACAGAATTAGCCAATGATTCAATCAGAGAAATGAAGAAAATACAGTATATATACACAATGGAGTACTATTCAGTCATAAAAATATAGTATATATACACAACGGAGTACTATTCAGTCATAAAAAATGAAATCACATAATTTGCAGGAAAACACATGGATAGGGAGGACCTCATGTTAAGTGATAAATAATTAGACATATCAAAAAAAAAAAAAAGCCCAAAAACCTGAAAAAAAGGAGAGGTGAGAAAGGGAAGGATAAATGAGGGGAGGATGAGCATGATCAAAGCACAACACATGCATGTATGGAAATGTCACAGTGAAAGCCATTAATGTGTATAATTAATATTCTCAAATAATTATAATGTTAAAAATTAGTCAATGTCATCTTGATCATGGAAGTTTGATGGTTCACACACATGCCAAAACATATCAAATTACAGACCTTAAATAAAAAACTAATTACTATGTATTTTGTAATACTGATTATATCTCAGTAAAGCTATTTATATATAGTAGAATCTAGTTAGTCGGCATATGGATGTGAGCTATAAAACCTCTATTGTTGATGTATAATTTAATAGTTTTCATAATGAAATGTTTCATCAACTGAAAAGTCCTATGAATATGTATTAGAACATAGATATAACAATATTAGTTCAGGAATTAATATTGGTTATTAGTCCAAGAGTGTAAGAAAAATTGTTGAATTCCCCATGAACTTCTTGACTCCTTAAAATCAGAACTATGTCCTAACTGAATATTCACCTTTCTGTACAGCCTCTGGTATAATGAGGGTTTATGGTAAATGGCCACTGAACAAAATCTTTTTTTTTTTTTTTTTGGTACTGGGGATTGAACTTGGGACCTCATGCTTGCAAGGCAAGCAGCAGAATCACTGAGCTAAATAAATCCCCGCCCCAAAATCTCTATTAAAAAGAGAAAACTGGAAGATAATAGTTTTAAAAAAAAACCCAAAGTTAAACACGAACTCTAATGCTACACAAAGATGTCATGACAAAAAAGTAAAACTTCCAAATGATATAATTTTGGAGAAACCAAATAAGAAAGCAAGCGTAAATTAAGAGAGGGCTATAAATTAGAAGTACCTCTGTGTCGCAAATGATAATTTTATCACATAATCCATACTTTTTTGAGAAGATAGGACAAATACACCTGGTAGGGTAAGTACTTAAGTAGAAGGAAAAGAAATGGAATCAGCAACAGGAAAATAATGCAATGACAGGAATAAACCAATACAATGTACCTATCCGTAGTAAGTCTCGATGTGAATAGACTAAATTCACCAGTGACGGTGTACCTTTTAGAGCTTTCAAGGACACAAACAGCCTGCTGCAGCAAGTGTGCCGTAAGTTTGCCACCACTGCCCTACCCAAAAGACAGTCTGGCAGAATGTATCAAAATATAAATATATATATATATATATATATACACACACACACACACACACACACACACACACGCACACACACACATACATACATATACATACACACACATATACACACATACATATACTTATATATTACACTGTGTAAAAGAAACACATTTAACCCAAAAAGAAATTTGTGGACTAAAATCCAAGGATGGAAAATAATATTCCATGTAATGGAAACCTAAAACGGCAAGTGTAGCTATCCTACAATACAAATTGCAAGACTAAAAAGACTGGCACATATTTTCAAATTACATTATCTGATAAAACATTTGCCTCCATCATAGAAAGAATTCTCAACTATCAACAATAAGAAAACAGGGCCAGGGATTTAGCACAGTGGTTCTACCACCTGCCTCGGAAGCACAAGGGCCCAAGTTCAATCCCCAGTACAATACAAAAAAAAAAAAAGGAAAACAGCCAACTCGGCAAAACAGTTTCTCAAAAAGTTAGTGTTATCTACTATATAGCCCACACAATCTACTAAGTGGGTATAAAAGAGTATTTTAAGTCCATTAAAAAAACTTGTACATGGATGTCCATAGTGGCATTATTTGTGAAAAATAGAAATAAAGTAAATATCTATCAACTGATGAGTAGATAAACAAAATGTGGTATAATCATACAATGAAATACTATTCAATCTATCCTTCAACATACAGAATCCTGAAAATATAATCTAAAATTAAGGAAACCAGAAACAAAGGGCTGCATGCCCTAAGATTCCATTTAAATTAAATGACCAAAATATATAAATCTAATTTTAAAAAAAGAAAGTAAATTAGTGACTGCCAGCAATAGGAGTAGGAAAGAATGGCGTGGTGAATGCTAATGAATTTGAGGTTTATTTGTGGAGTGTCTAAACGTTGCTATTAATAGTGATAGGTGCACAATTTTATTACTATATTAAAAAACACTAAAATACGCATTTTTAAATTGAAAATTTTACTGTGCCTGGTGGCACTCACCTGTAATCCCAGCTACCTGAGGTTGAGGTAGGAGGATTACATGTTTGAGCTTGGACAACTTAGCTAGATCCTATCTGCTCCTTCTAAAAGTGGAGTTTGGCATGTAGCTTAGAGGTGGTACAGAGGGTTTCATTTCCACTAATAAATCAAATAAATAAATGGCAGAATTTCATGACATGAATTAAATATCAACAGCAAAAGAATCCAATTTAAAATAAGCAAAAGATTTGAACCCTTCGCTGATAGAAATATACAAACAGCAAAAATGAATGGTAAGATACCCAACATCATTGATTAATCACTGAGAAATGAAAGACAAAGCTTTACCACTACACACCTAGTAGAATGATTAAAAAGGCTTTTCGTTGTTGTTTTTGTTTGGTTTGGTTTGGTACTAGGGATCCAACTCAGGACCATTTGCTTTTGAGGCAGCTGGTAAAAGTAATTTTTTAAAATGACCATAGCAACTGTTCAGTGGATGCAGTGTAACTAAATCCTGATACAATATGTTCACACATAAACCTGTACATTAGTGCCATGGTAGCTTTATTCATAATTTCCAGAAAAATGAAGTATTCTTCCACTGGCAAATGGATAAACATTTACAGTACATTCACGGCATAAAACATGAAACATACAAGAATGAAATAATGCATGAAATACACGGATGACTTTCAAGTATGTTTTGTTAAAAAGCCACACTCAAAAGCTACAAGCCAATAATTCCATTTATATGACACTCAGGAAAAGACAAAATGACAGAGATGGTAGCATGAGAGGCTGCAGGGAGGTCGAGTGGGGTCCACTACAAAGGAGCAGGAGCAGAAATAAGGGGGCTTAATGTAACTTGTCTGAATAATCATTGGGATGGTGGGTAAGTGCCTTAGTATTTGTCAAGACATACAGAACGTACACAATAAGGAACTTTGTAAACTTTAGATAAATTTGCTGAGAAATCAAACTCTAGACAAACCACTTTGAATGCAGAGCAATGTTTTACTACAGATCAAAGCACAACAGAAGAGTTTTTAAGGCTTCTTTCTGAAATACTATGGAGATGTTTTATTCTCACTTTGCAGCACAGATTAAACAATCTTCAAGTTATTTAGCACTTATGTTCCTAACTCTGTAAGTCCACACTCTATCATGGTACCTGGTGACGAGATTTTCTTCTCTTTTAAAATCAAACGTATTTGTTTATACTATTTCATAAACGAAAAGACTCACGATAAACAAGTATTTTAGAAGAATGCTGGAGGTTATGTCTATATCCAGGAATAAAGAGCTTTAAAAATTCACTGTACTATTCACACAGCCTTAACTTTGTCCGGGGACATTCCTTCAAAAAGGAGTCTAATTTGTAATAGATGTTTAAAATAAATAAATTAGGGTGTAATGTAAAACAGATGGAAGCACTAACAATAAAGCTCTAAGTAAGGTAGGGCGCACAGCAACGGGAAAGCACAGCTTTTACCACTAACCAGCGGAGGTGCGCGTTCCTCCCTGTCATTGGCAGGTCTGAGATGCTGCCAAGCCCATCTCCCCGCCCCCTATTTAAAAAAAAATCATTAATTTACTCAGGCTTACAAAATCCCACACAGCCTGTACACAGAACATATTCTCCCTGGATCCCATTGTGGGCTCAAAAGACACAGCTGTTTCCGGGCTGTTATCTGCGGAACCCAGGCGAGCAAGCCCCGGCGGAGGGGAGGCCCGAGGCGGAGCCAGGTCCCAGGAGTCTGGCCGCAGGGCGCGTGCGGGAGTAGGAGGGCGTCTGGGTCACCGCGCGAGGCGGCGTGCCACACTCGTGGGCTCTCCAGAGCCTTCGTCACAAACCACGGGGGAAACGGCTGGACAGAGACCCAACTCAGCAGCGGGTCGCGGCTGAAGCCGGACCGGACCGACCGCTCGGGGCGAGGGAGGAAACCGGCGCCGCGCTGGACTCGGACTCCGACCCTGCCGTCCCGGCGGGCCATTCCGAAGAGGGGACCCAGTCACCCTGCACTCCGGGCCCCCAGCGCGGCTCGCTCCGGAACCGAACCGCCGCCCGCCTTTACGTAACCTGTCGCGGAGGCGGCAGGCAGGTGGCAGCGCCGGCCGGGGAACGCGGGGACGCGAACACGCGGGGCGGCGGCGGCCTCGTTACCTGACCAGATGCCCAGGGACAGCTGGGACGTGTCCAGGTTCACCACATAGTCCCCCAAGAACCGGTTCAGCACGTCCACGACCAGTGACTCGAATACCATTTTCCTCAGCGGCGGAGGTCACGGCGGCCGCCCTCCCTCCCGTGCCCCAGCCTTGAGACGCCGCCTTCACGGTCTCCGGGGCGGGTCTGTGTGGCG